CGGCGCCGACACTACATCCCAGTTCTTCAACCATAAGTCTCCATACTTGTCAGCGATGTTTCTTTGTTTTGTATTGTTAATTCACATTTTAAACTTTTTGATGGCTTTAGCGTGGCGGCAGCAGCAACAGCAATGAGCACACAGCTGCTTTTCACGCTGCCAAAGATCCGATCTAAAGTCCATATGGGAGAGATATTTGCACAAATAAAAGTATAACTATTAGCCACCAGTAAAACGACAGCCGGCGACCAGCAGGCAATAGCTAATAGCCCATACAGCAACTAGCAGCCGCCAATGGCTGGCGAAACAATGAGCCACCAAGCCTTACCGCATGCGGCCAGATTAAGCAGCACTGATAAATATATTGTAGTTAAGAAGAAACTGGAGAAGAAAAGTTGTAAGATGAAAAGGCGCAAATGGAATTAAATTGTCATTGTTTATACTCATATCTTTGTATGTTTGTGTTTGTATTGCAATATTTTGGTGTCAAAGTATTTTACATTGCTTGCCCGCTAATTGGGCTTCAGCTAGTTTATACTGAAATTGACAGCATTATTATCCTGTCAAAATAAACATACTTAAATTTAGATAAACGATTTGTAAAGCTTTACCATTATTGGCTATTTTTGGAGAGGATTATAGGCAATATGAGTCACGTTTAGCTGAGGAATTGGAATGTGAGAAGGTGGCTTAAAATTTTAAATTAATTTTTTTGGATTTGCGATTGACAGCTGAGCTTGAATAGAATTTTACGTGCAATTTTTTGTGGGTCGACTGAGTAGTTTTTCTAATATTACTTACCGCTTTTCTCATAAAGCTTTTGACTTCGCAACGCTATGGAGTATCTGTTAATAAAATTCCATTTTTGGATATCTGTCTAGCGTCCGAAACCGCCTCACTTTTCGACCCAATTACCACACCCAGCAATGAAATTTATGTACCTCAATCAACTGCATCTGTCGTGATATCTGAATGTTATCGGTATGTAGCTCACATACACATGTATGTATGTATGTATGTATGGACATGAATCTTTGACACACCCACATAGCCGGATACATATAAATATCTGCATATGTAAATCCATATACATATGTAGGTACGTCAAACCCGCACAATTTAACTGAGATTGAGCAAGAACTTATTTTGCAGCTCAGGCAAATGTGCATATGTATGTATGTAAATATGTATATATGTACATATGTAGGTGTTCCACTAATAAATACCGTCAAAGAAAAAACGCCCACATACGGTGCTAATCAACTATCAACCAATAGATAAGTACAAAAGTAGTTCAACAGTGATATGCAAGTGATATTCAAATGTAAACAGCGATAATGAAAAAGCAATCGAAAGTGTAAATTAAAATTATCACTGGTATGTAATGGGCAAACATATGATGTACATACTTATATAAAAAAAAAATTATGTACATATGTATGTTAGGGTGGGTCAATATTTTTTTACTATGTGCGTACAGCACAAAAAGATGCCTCGTGTGATTCTAAGTTAATTTGCCGAAGAAACCATAGGTCTAAAATCAATTTGGGTTATGCCAAATTGCAAAATAAGTTTCGAAGAAAATCTGAAATCACTGATGCGTCCTCTAGTGGAAGGTTTAAGAAAAAGATAAGTGCAGAAACGGATTCCTCATAGGAAAAAACGCTTTATAGCAGTTTTTTTTTTGTAATTTAGCGCTTCTTTACCTCACAGCAGAAAAATGCTAAGAAACCTATTTTCGAGATTTAGCAAACTGCGAATAAATTTTAGATCTGTGGTTTCTTCGGTAAATTTGCTTATAATTACACGTAGCATCCTTATGTGCTTTAAGCGCAGAGTCGAAAAAATATCCCATACAAATTGACCAGCCCTAATGTATATATGTTTACTGGTACTGATAAAAATACTTTGTTGGCTTTCAGTAACAGCAATTAAAACTCATTCCCTCATACAACAAACTCTTTGCAGTGTTGTTATTGGATTTTATTGCAATTCTTTGTCACTTTCGCTTTGTTTTCCAATTATCGGAACTCATACAAAATTTGAAGTTGCAGAAAGTTTTATTAAACAGCCAAGGTTTATGAACTATGAGTATCAGTTGGAAAATTGCCATAATTCGTAAATTTAAATCCATAATTCTTAATAATAAGTCAAAATTGATAATATGCACCTCACAACTCAAGGTCAGAATTCTCAATTTATGATTCATCATTTTTAATCGAAAAAATCGTAATTCACAATTAATAGGTCATCTGTCTTAATTATAAGCTCATAATTCATAATTCACAATTCAAAATTTGCAATTTACAATTCCTAAATCATAGTTCGCAATTCTTACTTCTTAACCCATCATTTATAAATAGTAGAAAATTCATAACTTTTAATATACAATTTATAATTCATAATTAATAACTCATACCACATAACTCAATGTTTATAATTAAAAGTATTTTTTCGTGATTATTAATTTTTGGTTTTTTTACTCATGAGTCTTAATAGATAATTTTATTCATGATTCAAAGCTTAAAAATTCTTAATTCTTAATTCATAATTCATGAGTTATCATTTACAATTAAACACTTCAATTAAACAATCCGTAACTCATACTTCATAACTCATAATTCATAATCCAAAGTCATAATTGAATTATAAATAAATAAATAGTTTATAATTTTTAATTCCATGACCACAATTACCGATCCATTCTTCTAAATTCATAACTCGTTATTATATATACACGATTCATAAATTAAAATTGATTGTTTAATAATAAAAACAAGTTTTATAATTCGTTAATAAGTCATAACTCCTCGACTATCATTCATATTTAACCACTAATAATTTTATAATTCTTAATTCATAGTTCATAGCACACAACTCATCACTAATCCCTAATAGTTTATTATCCCTGATTTGATATTCATAGTTTATAATTTATAATACACACTTTATAATTCATAACTCATAATTCATGACTTATAATTCGTAATTTAAAGTTAATGCTTCATAGCTCCTAATTCATAATTCTTAAACCATAATTCATAGTTCATACTTTGTAATTCCTAACTAACAGTTCATCATTGCTTATTCAGAATTTCTACATCATAATTTATAATTAATAATTCGTAGTTCATAATTCATAATCCTTAATTTGTAATTTATAGTTCATAATTTATAACGAATAATTCGTTATTCACAACTCATACTCCCTAGGTCATAATTCGTGATTTATGATTTATAATACACAATTCATAATTCACAATTTAAAATTCCTGATTCATAAGAGTTCATTATTAATAACTAATAATTCAGAATTCTTAATTCCTAGTCCATAGTTCATAATTCCTAAACCACAAATCACCTATATCTCTAATACGCGAAAGGATTCTTTGTTCACGTCATCACATTTGTTCACGTTTTACATTTTCGAAAAGGGTTGCCACCCTTTAAAAAATTTAGTTCAAGTTATAAAAAAAATCAACTACTGGATTATGATTATTAATCGAAATGGGTCTAAAAACCTTTATTTCTTAACTAAATGCAAGAAGGTTGCCACCGGTTTAAAAACCAATTTCAATTTGAATTAAGGTGGTTGAAAAATGTATCACCCTATGGGCGCCAGACGAAACAGTTTTAAGGAGGTAGTAGTTTAAAATATTTTGAAGAGTGTTGCTATCTTCTTTAAGATTCGAATTACTTAAACTTGTGTAGACACAAGTTATATGAAATAATAATATATGGGCGTCAAACAAATGAGTGGCAAGAAATCTTTAGTTTGAACAGATATAATTTTCTAAAATGATTGAAAAGGGTTGTCCACTGTTGGAAAAGTTTAATTCAAATTGTTTCATAAGTAAAATGAATTATTAAAAGTTTGGTATCAAGCAAAATGTGATTGAAAGGGGGTTTATTTCTGTACTCAATTTGGGAGAGTTGACATGTGTTTCAAAAATCAAATCCAACTTAATTCATCAGTTAATTGATATATGTATCACAATATCAAACGAAAGAGGTTTAATACGATTTCAGTTTGAAAATACTTTTAAATATGGTTGCCACCTGTTCGAAAAATGGAATTTATTTACAACTCATACACAATTTAAATGAAATTTTAAAATATGGTGTCATGCGTAAGACTTTTAAAAAAACTTTAGTTTAAAAATATGTTTGTTTGATGTTGCCATCTATTGGAAAATGTATACCTATCAACATATATGTACATATATTTGTTTGAATGCAATACTCACAAGGCATTTTTGTGATGGTCATCAGATATGCACCGTTACTTCGAAGTTACTGCTTTTCTTAGCGACTCCATGCGGAACCTCCCTTCACTTAGAAACGGCGGAACGGATTTAGACGCAACATTAAGGAGTATTTATTAGGTTTCTGAATAGAGCTGCCGCATGTTTGAAATGTCAAATTCAATGCTGGCGTTGTACATTAGTAATTCTTTAATCATATTTGCAAAATCACAATACTTAATTCAATTAATTTACTCACTTTACATTTATAATCTCACTCAAAGTCAGCAGTGGAAAAATCGCACGCGATTTTCCCTACATAATAACTCCTCTATATGAAAACCATCAACTCTCATGCTACCATCCACTGAGCATAACCAATTGGAAGAGCATAAACCGCATCGAATGCGTTCCACCACCGGGCAATATGTAAGACCGCCATATGCCACCTACCGACAGCATAGCCGACCCTCCCCCACGAGGTAGCAAGAAACCACCACTGTCAGATGCTTTTGCAAGCCAACAAACAGGCGTAACTCGCAGATGCTCAGATACTCCAATTCAATACAATCCAAATCCAATTCGATACAACCCAATAGAATGCTAAATGGATATGCTCACCTACCGGCAGCAGAGCATGAAGCTCGCTCGCAATAAAGTGGTTTGTTTTAGTTGAGGGGGGTGGTGGCGTCTGGTGGCACTTTAGCTTTGCTAGCTGGCTGCCTGTCTGGCCGGTGGTCGTGTGCGGAACTTGCTATGATGTCGTTGTTTGGGCTTGTGCGCTCAGTTGTCTTTTAGATTCCACACGGTGCGGTTGTACGAAGCGGATGGTTACGCGTGTACCAAATTTTGAAAAATTCTTAACACAGCGGTCTGAAACAGAGCACAAAAAATACATAGTACATGAATAAATAGAAGAACCTGAAAAGATATAAAATACTTTACGCTTGTAAAATCACAAGGTGTTTGTGTGTTTGTACCCCTGCATTATTATTGTTGCTTGCCTGTTAAGTTGAGAATTTACAACAAAAGCTAAATTAAGTAGTAAAGTGGACGAACGTCTCGAGCGGTAGAGGACAAACAATTGTCAAAGTGGCAACGATACCAAAAGTAAATAAACAACTACAACAATAGCAACAATACATGCATACATACATAGGTAAACAAACAAAAGCAGTTAATATACAAAAAAAACAGCAGCAAAACAAAAGTGAGCCAGAAGGCAGACGAGACCGAAGAATCGAAGCGTAGCGCATCGAAACGGAGCGAATCGTGGCTGAAGCTGAGCGAGCAAGTGCTTCAAAACACAGTAAAATTGCAAACGAAACAAAAATAATAATTTAAACAATTTTTTTTTAAGTTTGTAGCGCGGTCTACACATTGCGCAACGGAAACGGACATTGCGTTTTATTTTCTATTGAAAACCTTAAAAAAAAAACAGACGTAATAGGTATACGTCGGCCGCGTGTGTGTTTTGATTGCAATAAACAACTTGAAAATCCAAATTTGTTGAAAGATTTGCTGTAAATTAGCAAAGGTTGTGTACCAGCAAAAAAAAAAACACAGTGATAAAGTAAACTGCGAGACGCTAAAATTTGCTGTTGTTGCTTTTCTGTATCTTCAAGTGCAGTCTGCGTCTTCTTTTCAGCCGTCACAACAACAGAGTGTTTTGTGTAATGTGAGTGTGTGCCGAAAAAAGCTGAACCGAAATTAAGTAATAAAGCGAGAGGCAATAAAAGGCAAACAGCAGTGAATAATTAAAGAAAAATATTTAAAAAAAAGAACAAGTATAACAATAACAAAGTATTCACAATTGGCTGCTTAGCTGAGTATGTGTACGCAGCAATTGCGTAAAATTTTCATATTTTTTTCTATTTCGCTTCGAGGAAATTTTTTGACTTTGCCGGTACTTGCTGTTTTAAGTTTTTTTTTTTTTTTGTTTAGCCTAGTTGCGAAAAAAGTAATGTAAATTTTGATTTTGTTGATTTTTTGTTTGTTATTAATTTAAATTAATTGGTGCAAATGCTAATTCGACGTTTACAGTTAGCATTAATTTTTTAATCTTTAATTTTTTAAGCTCTTTAGCGGAGTTCGTTTAAGCTAAAAGGCATTTTTATGACAAAAATTAATTATGACCAAACAAGTAGATTACTTAAAAATAAAATTATTTTTTATTGATTGGCACATGATTTCCCACATGTTTACTAAATAAAAATCTTAACCCTTTACGACCGATTGCTAACTTTTTAATTTTTGGCTTTAATAGAAAAGTGTGAAAGTAGTTTTTTTCTAAATTTTTTGTATTAAAGACAAAATGTCACGCAGTTATTTATACAGTGGCTATTTTTGAAAAATGTCGCTAAATTATATTGATTTCAATTGAAAACCAGAAAGTCTGAATTTCCTAATTTGTCTGCTGAAAATTTAAAAGGGTCAGCCTAAAAGTGTAAACCGTCTTTTGTTTTCTCTCTGTGTTGAGTTCTTTCCTCCAAATGGTAAAGGGCTCACTACTGACAGTATGAAGAATACCTACACAAAAAGCCATTTGCTCAGAAATCGCCGTGAAATCGTGAAATTTTTCATTTCACACGTTGGTGCAACGAGTAGAAAAATTCCGATGCGTCGAGGCAAAGCGTTACTATTTTCGATGTTTCACGACGTATCTACATACTTTTGACTGAATGAGCAAGCCTATGTATGTTTGTATGCCAAATTAGGTCCGACTTTACAAATAAATTTATTGCACCCCTCGTTTTTTTTTAGTTTTTTATTCTTTATAAAATCACGCCCTAAAAAACGTTTATCGACGCATTTTTACAACGTCGAAATGTGATACCCACAATGAGCCCACGCGTAAAAATCTGAGCCCAAAAATATTGACACCAAAATGTAAATATACGCCTTTCATGTCTTTAGAAAACCAGTGATATTGAATTATTCGATAATTGCAATAAATCAAAGCCACACTTCATTTGCATAAACCTTCTAGATTTTGGTTGTTGTTCTGCTCACGCTGGCATAGAACCTGTTTCACGCGATTGCAGTCCACCACCTACTTAAACAACTTAAGCAAAGATGTACGGCTAGGTGGTGGTGGTTGGCCAACAAAAAGCGGTGCAATGGAGCTACATACATTTAGGCGGGTCATTTTTTGTTTTTTACAATGCGCATAGTATTCTTTATGTAACTCTAAGCAAATTTGCCGAAGAAACCATGGGTCTACAATTAGTTTTGAGTTTGCCAAATTGCGATAATAGGTTTCAAAGAAAATATGAAAATTTTCACTGTTGCGTTCTCTGGTGGAGAAATGGACTCCTCGTGCCAAAACACCTCTTACAGCATGTTTTTATACAAAATTTAACCACTTCTTTACAACACTGCAGCGAAATGCAAAGCAACTTATTTTCGCAATTTGGCAAACTCCATTTTGATTTTAGACCCCTGGTTTCTTCGGCAAATTTGCTTTGAATCACACGTAGAATCCTTCTGTGCTATACACATAGTCTAAAAAAATCGCCCATACAAATTGACCCTGCCTAATGTACATACAAAAAAATATATATTTATGTAAATGTTAATATGTATGAATCTTGCAGATACATATGTATGTATGTATAATAAAGCTCTTTAAATAAATCAACTTAATTTTTTTTGCAAGAAAACTGAGATCCTAAGAAAATTTGAATGCAATTGCATATTTGTCTTTTGCTAAATTTTGTTCACTATAGAAATTATTGATTTCCCTTTACGCATGTATATACAGTTATCTCCTGTACAGTAGTATCTATAAATACTTTGCACTACTCATCTAGTAAATTCAGCGCAAATTCCTAAGAATATTTTTTTTTGTCCTTATCTTCTGAAACCAGAAACGTTTTTTTTTGTGCCCCTTTACGCGCTAGCCAAATGTATTTCTGTAATCAAAGCGGCGTAAACAGGTTAATGGGATTTTGCAATGCATTGCACTTAAATTAGATCACCACGAATCGCTGAAGTTGTATCAATTCAGAAGTTTAGTTTATTTCGCATTGCCAATGCAATTTCGAAGAAAAAGTAAATAATGCAAGAAAAAATAATAAAGAGAAGACAAGAAATAAATAAAGAAGATATACTACACATACATAAATCAACAAATTGCTGACCACGCTGGCGCCAATAATGTCTAAAATGGCAATTTAGAGAGGGGAGAAAAAGATGTATAGGTAAATGAGCATATGTGCTTAAAACTTAGCAAAGTACAATTGCAAAGCAGAAAGTCTTGGAGAAATAGCTAGAAATGTTAGAAATGTTAGAATATCGAAAGAAAAAAGACGAGAGTTAAAACTTGTACTGAAGCACTAAACAGCTTAGGTCTAGTAACACGTGAATACACACAGATGTATCTACATATATATCGCTATAATTCGAGCCAACTTAACGCTTGCTAGCCACGTTTTGCAGATTGTAAAATTATTCTTATACTCGCAAGCATAAAATGGAGTAAATTTACATTAAAATATATGCAACATATATTTGTATATACATACATATGTGCATATCTATATAAATATTTATGTGAATATATATATAAGTGCTTATGCACATATGTACATACATATGTATGATTGTTATTGAACCCATATCGCAAAACATAAATGTGCACATATGTATATATGTATGTACACAAGTAGATATTTATGTACTTGAAAGCAAGTTTACTCAGACGCAGCCTTGTTTCGTTGGCGTTAATTTGCTGTAAACCGTATAAATCACAACTAACTCCACATGCACACCAAAACACATATGTACATATATGTGTATGCCCATCAAAAACGTAAATCCAAAGATAGGTGTGAGAGCAGTTGGGGTAGAGGAAGCGTCAGGTTATGCTACGCTGAATTTTTCATGGCACTGATTTCGTAGATTTTCAAGCAATAAATTAATCTTCTTTACGAACATGTTAACAGAAAATAAATATGTAATTAATTTTTAATTAAATAAAGTTAGCTTAAGATCAAAGAAATATGTATGAATAAAATTAAAATTAAATGGAATTGAAGAAAAAAATTCAAATAAATTTAAAAATATAAAATAAAATAAAGTGAAATAAAATTAAGTAAAATAAAAAAAGATTACAAAATGTAAAAAAATAAATAAAATAAACACAAATAACAATAAAATAAAGTAAGATAAAATAACGCAAAATGAAACAAAATAAAATAAAATAAATACAACATAAAGTACAATGAAGTAAAGTAAAATAAAATAAAGAAAATAAGAAAAGATAAACATAAAAGAATTTAAATTAAATAAAAATAACAAATATCCATGCATATATCAATATAAAAATATAATTAAAAGCCATAAATAAAAAACCTAAACAAAAAATTAAATAAAGTTGAATTGTATAATTAAAAGTACAGAAAATAAAATAACAACAGAAATAATAAAATAATATAAAACAACGTAAAACAAAAGAAAAATAAACATGACAAAATAAAATAAAATAAAAAATTTATAAAAATCAAGTTAAGTAAAAGTAATTGAGAGAGTAAAATAAAAAAATAAATTTGTTTAGTCCTGTTTTCTGTTGACTGTTTTTAAACTTTTTTTGCTTAGATTTGCTTTTTCAGAGCTTCATATACACTTTTTTAAACCCAAATTATTCCATATCAGTTAAACGATTTTTATTGTAATAAATGTTTCACTCTTAAAAAATTGTTTATCTAACGGATCGTACACTGTAAAAAATGGAAAACAAATGGCAAAAGACTGTCCAACACAGTACAAAATTACTTTAAAAACCTCGCTGTTTATTTCTTAGGACGAATTCAATAAAACGTTAAGCGCAAATAACTCAATGAGAACGTAAGCAAAAAAAACTTATTTATCTTTCCAATGCACTTTCTATCGATATTTCCTACAGCGTACTGAGCAAAGATATCGATATCAATAGTTATCAAAAAATATGTTTTGGATTACTAGGCAGCAATTTTTGTAGTTTTCACAACTCTCACAAAATTTTGGAGCATTATGTTTGCTAAAAAAATTTAAATTTCCAACCAAAATGAAAAAAGAAATAAAAAAAACATTTATAAAATTTTGAAAATTGCAACCAAGAATAATTCCGAAGCAGTTGTAAAAAATTCCAGCTGTAGTACATATGTACGTATGTACATCGTTGGAATTTTGACTTCAAAAGGCAGCAATGAAATATTGGGGTTGTGAAGAAAAATATCTTAAATATTAATGTGTAGTATTTTAAATTATGAAGTCTGACGTAACTTTCATATTCACCGTTCACTTATAGTCTAGAGTTTAGGCAATGTATGGGGTCCGCAATGGTCTCCAGCTAAGGGGATTAAAAAGGATTCGATTTTTTCTCTGCTCCTAACATAGATAGTAATTTTTTTTGGAATGGGACGAAAATGTAGAAAGTTCTATAAGAGATTTACATTTTGCGCTTTAAAAACAAATGATATTTAATAAATCCATTTTATCTTCTGAAAATACTGTTTTTTTAGAACGCTGTCTTATCACTAAATACTATAAAAATCTGGGTAAGAATTTTTTAAACATTTTAAAGCAAAAATTTAATTCACAAAAGTCTTGTACCGGCAAAGTTTAATAAAAATTTCATCCTAATTGCATTGTATAAACACCAAACCACAAAAGGAAAATATCATTAAAGTGTCCGTGTTATTTTTTTCGCAATTGTTATACATATATATTTCGTGAATTAATTGAGTAAGCAATACGTAATTGCAGAACAAAATGTGCTGCTAACCATGTAGGGTTCATACACATGAATGAATGTACGAGTACATAAAATATTGTTTATTTTTTTTAT